TTTCTTTAAACGAATTTTAAAATAAATTCAGTATGTATATTCATGCATTCCTAATCAGAGACACAAACTGACCAATCAAACCAATGCATAAAAGAGGGAAAACAATTTTCAAATCGAGCTACAAATTGCAAGAATTAAAAAGCAAATAAATTAGATAAAAACAGCAGTTAATAACACGGTAGCAGAGAACGTTGGGTAACGATAAAATCAGATTGATCGTCGATTAGTTGAATCGTTTTACGATAAGTGATCAAAGACAGAGAGAGAGGAAGAGACAAAGGTAGATTCGCGATGGAGACGACGAAGACGCGTTCCGCTATTTTCCGCGTGACAGAATAAAAATGAAAGAAAAAGACGCGAGGGGAAAATGCATAACCTCGCGAAATACCAGCCGACCGCCTCGAGGCGACGATTGCATTCCGATGCGCATAGCCTTTCTTCCTTTCGTCTCCGTTTCTGCATCGTTGCCATTCTCGGCCGGCACAGACTCCAGACTTCTGTTTTCCCATCCGCGCCTTCTATTCTCGTTCTATTGTCCCCGTAATTTCATATTAAAATGTATGTCGTGCGAAAACAGAACACGTTTAAATAGAACAATTTTCTTCTTATAATAAGAGTCGTATTCCATCGAAGAATTCTTCTTCATTTCTTATCTTATCTAAAACTATTTATAGGAAAGAATCTCTATGATAGGCGTCTCGTATTAACCCATTCGCTGCCAAGCCTAAATTATATGAAGTCATTCCTATTGCCATTTATATTTTGAGTGCTATTGTTTACCAAAACCCTGTTATTTCTTGGTAAGAGCACATATATTATCATACATAATCATTTAGAAGCAGAAAACCAAAGACGAGTATACTCGTCGTTGGCAATGGGCCTTCAAAAGAGCCTGCATGTTATAATATATTTAAAGCAGGACGAGTATACTCGTCCTGGCAATGCGTGACACCCTGCCAAAGACGAGTATACTCGTCCTTGGCAGCGAATGGGTTAATATATGAAGTAAAATCCTAGGC